CACACCTTAGTTTTATTTTGGTGGTGTGGATTGCTATTGTTGGTCTTTTGGCACATAAGGCACAGCTGTGGCTTTTGTTTGTAAGACAGGGGATATCTGTTTCCTTTTCCTCTCATTTGTGGCCAAGACAGAGGTATTTTTTGATGTAAGGGGGATGAGGAAGTATGAAGTCATCATTTGTCCACTGCAGAAAACCCTTGATAGCAAGTAGGAACCTATTTAATCTCCTCTGGTATCTGCAATTTCCATTCAATGATGCCTGAAAGGGACATTAAATAGAAAGTCTTTGCTAAATTTACAGCAGCAAAATAGTTAAACAAATTGTCCTCATTAGACTCTGGCAAGAAGGAAGTAGTTTGCCCCTCTGAGAGCCAGTGTTGTAGGCTGTTGGCTTCAGAGGAGGATAGTGCACTATGTAAAGTGCTGTATTTCCGCCTCCCAGCTACTGTATCACGCAAAGCAGTGATAGTATTTTATAACATTAATAGATAAGAGCAATGCAAATACCTTCAGTGGCACATATGCAAACTTATTGCTGGCAGCAGGGTTCATCAGTTGTCAAGGACACATTATGAAAACATAATTACAGATACACTCTTTGTCTTCATTTACATAACTTACTTAAATGTGGATATTGTTGATGCATAAGAAAGAGAGTCCACTTTTCACATTCAACTTTCAGCTATCCGGGATAACAAAAAAATCCCCCAGGATAGCCTTAAGTAATTACTCAGCAGACATGAATGTCAATGAAGGAGAGCTGCAAAGCAGAAAGATGTTAAAGTTTTACTTTTTAGAGTGGAAATGCACTTCTCTTTTGGGTTAGAAGTACAGTTTTAGGTAACACAGAACAAGTTCTTTTATAAAAGTATATCAGTTTATACTGAGGCACTGGAGGTCTTGCATTTGAGTGGATTATGATTTTACTGTTTGGGGCAATTAAATAGTATGTCATCATAAAAAAACGGTGAACATAAGTACTTTCATATCTCACTAAAAGAACTGAAGCTTTGATTTTTCTTTTCCAGATGACCGGTAGATACGAAATGTATGCAGAGAGACTCACTGAAGCAGTCCAGCCTTATTTTGTACCCAATATAATCAAAGAGTAAGAGACAGCATCTCATTACAGTCAACTGTTATGTAGCAAATTAAAAGGTACTGTTGGATGATAGCTTTACTTGGATCACAAGTTCTTGTTTTAATGTTGTCGTTTTAGTGTTGTCGTTTTAATTTCCTGTAACCAACTTTTAAGTAATAGCATTCAAAACTGTGTTAAGTAAAATAATTGAAAAATGGCTTCTTGGTTGGTTTGTTTGGTCTTTTTTGTCATTTACACTAATGAGTCCAAACTTCTGTTCTTTACTAGAAATATATTCAGTAGGAATACATTGATATAAAACAAAGGTGAAATTTATTCAGTACTGTGTGCTGTGATATAGCTTGGTGGAGATGAGGAGTTCAGAGGACATAAAAGTTCATGCGTAGGCTTTGCCTTGTGTGTCTATTTACTTCTGCTTTCCAGACTTTACCCTCTACTCAAATGCATAATTTAGGGGGAAAGGAGACATAAATTGTTTTCATCTCTTTTTTTTTTTAATTATGAACTATTTGATGCAGTTCTGTTAGAGATAAGGAATGTCCCAGACATGTTGTTTGAAGATCTGTGGGTACTGTAAAGCAAGACCACTGGTTCTTTGTGTTTCCCTTCACACTAAGTATTACAACCACAGTTGGACCCGTGTCTTTGGACACCTTAAGGTGCAAAAGTAATGCTGCAGACAGATGGTTTTAGTGCGTTCAGAAGTTCAGTGCTGTGTTTTGGGGCAAAATAGAAACACTGGCTGAAGCACGAGCAAGGCTGGTGCAGTCGCCTTACACTGTGAACAGAAAGCCACGGAGATGCTATTTGGGATCAGGATGGGTAATGAAAACTGCTTCCCTGGAGCTGATTCCAGTAGGATACTTGGTGGTTGCGGAGTACACAGAACAGCTGTTGCACATACATAATAACAATACATTTGCTATTCTCAGATAATGGTGTACATTGAATTTTGTTTTGTATGATTCAGGTGAGGCAGCGTGTGTTCAGGAAATGCAGAATGAATACAGACTGGCAACTATGAATTTATAGTTGAAATATTTAAACTCTTTTTTTTCAAATTAAAATTTCAGCTGTGCCATTTTGATTTAAGTATATAACACATCCTCTAAAGATTTTTCCAGCATTTTTCATACTAAGCTAGTCAATAAATGCACTTGCTACATAGTTACAGGGTTATCTGTGACTTTAAACCTTTATTGAGAATGGCTTAATTACAAATAAAAATATATTTATGTATAAAATCCCTGCATGTAAAATACCCCTTCCTTTGCTATTGACATCATGAAGGAAAAAAAGTGACAAAACATTTTCAGAATGAGTATTTTGATAGACAATCTTGTAATGGGAAACAGAGATTCAGAAAATGCAGATGTTCTGAATGCTTGCGCAGCGAGGTTCTTTTTAATCTGAGTTTGTGTCATATAAATACTCAGTCTTTTCACTTGGCTTTTGGTTCTTCCTCGTGTTTCCATCTCTCGTAGCTATCTTCCATTTGGCAGCTATAACACATCCTGATGCAATGGTGGAGCTCTTCTTTTGTCTGTATTAGTTTAAACAACTTTTGTTTCTTTATCTTGCAGTTTTGTTGCAGTATTTAAACCCTGGGTACCAAACATTTAACAGTCAATATTGTTACACTTATCTGTGCACTTCAGAACACTTAAGTGTGCCCTTCAGTTCATGTTTTATGTATAAGCTCAAGATTGGCATTGGGAGAACTGAACCGGTAAGAGGCTAAAAGTCAATACAAGCCTATTGTAAGAATTGTTTTTATTTAGCTAACTAACTAAGCCTGCTCTGAAGTTAATCCTGTGGTAGTTTAATGGTACTGAATGAACTACCTACCTGAAAATGCATGGTTTAAGTACTCTATCAACCTGTAATTTACATACCTGTTAATTAGTAACATAGCTAATACAATCTCTCTAAATCAAACATCGTTAATTTGGACTTGGACATAAAAATTCCCAGATCAGTAGCCTTCTGGTGACTGAGCTTGGAGGAGTGGGAAGGCATGTTCTGTGAATAGGTTTTGTACCTTTTTTCTGGGACACTGCTGGTGGCACTAATGTACTGGTTCTACTGCTCACAAATCACATCCTAACTTTTACTCGTTTTGCAAGTGTAAGTACTAGAATGTAGCCTAACCTCACCAATGATAAGCAAAATTTGATAGACTGTTTCTTGTCACGTACTTTCTGTTTGGAACTTTTTAAAGGCTTCTGCTTTTAAAAAGTCTGTTACTATTTTTAGTCTTTGTACAAAGGAGCACTCTTAATTCTACTAAGCGTACTTATTGAATGCTTTCCAGATACTTTTCAGTAAGTCAACAACTGATAAAATATTTTCTTTTAGAAAAAATTTGTTACCATGCTGAAAGTAGATTCCTATTTATTATTTTCACCAAGTAACAATGGCCTTTTAATGTTACTCCACACAGTTCCAGAACTTGGGCAGTTATTTCCTTAAAACCATGTCAAAGGTGTGTGATCTCTGTCTTAAATGCGAAATAAAATTTTGCTAGCTTCACATCAGTATTGATTTCACTACCCATTTCAACATAGGCAGGACTAGAGATCAAGAGTTCTAGGAAATTGTGATGGATGAATCTGATTCTTACACTTTACAGAGCTCCTCAGCAAAGTAATTAAACCCACAAAAGGATTGTGCGTGGGCTGCTAACAATTTCACTTGATAATGTCTGAATACAGTAACTCCAACTTAATCCAAATACAGCTGTATTATGAAAGCTAGAAAATCTGAGTTCCTGCCTTCTTAGTTGTAGCAGAGATGTTTATATTCCCTAATACAGCTGTATTATGAAAGCTAGAAAATCAGAGTTTCTGCCTTTTCTTAATTGATTTCAGCTCTTAGAAGGTCACTGAACTAATACCAATAGCAAAATTTGGCTCAAATTCTGATTCCATATTTTAGTTAGAATCCAGTATATGCTGCCAGATATTTACAATTTACACACAAAATGTATGCCATTAGTGTGGATGATAATTTTTTGTATTTGCTTAGTAAGTTTAAATTTTATATTTAAATGGATTCTGTGGAAACTTGCACCTGTGAGTGGCATAATCAGATATTTACAATTTACACACAAAATGTATACCATTAGTGTGGATGATAATTTTCTGTATTTGCTTAGTAAGTTTTAATTTTATATTTAGAATGGATTCTGTGGAAACTGGCGCATGTGGGTGGCATAACGTTCAGAGGTTTTTGCAAAGAGCAATAAAGGGTTCTAGGTACACATAAAGTATCTTCACTTAAACTTTTGGGGCAATACAGAGCTTTGAGCAGTCACCCTACAGGATTTAGCCAAAAGAGATTGAGTTTGTAGTACAAGGGAACATCACCAAGAACTACGACTGAAAATTTAATATAGTGGCATAAATGCTAAATCTGTGTAAGGTGAATTTGGTACATGAGAAGTTTCCTTAAGTAAATGTGTTTCATTCCTACAATGCAGGCAATACTGATAATACAGCAAGGCATTTTTTGTTATTTAAAAGTGGTTTAAGTTGATTTTTTTTTCCTTCTATAATACCCGGCTGAACCTCAGAATCCCTAGATTTAGGATGAAGAAGCCCTTGATGCTTTGACAGAGAGAGAGAAACAGGTATTTTCTATTTTTTTTTGTCCTGGTTTTGTTTACCTAAACCTATGCTTGTATTACCAAGTGTTAAAGTTCATAAATTTGGTGCCTTTTTCTCATGTGTTTAATCTGAAAATAAGCTCAAAGTGAACAGGCTTTGGGCCTGCATTTTAAAATTGCTGTCAAATGTGCAATGTTGAAAATGAGGGAAAAAACAAAAACCATTTTAAAATTGCTGTCAAATGTGCAATGTTGAAAATGAGGGAAAAACAAAAACAAAAACAAAAACTGAGACATACATTGCAAAATCAGATACATCATCAGAAAAAAAAAAAAGGTAAAGACAGCATTGCAATATAGTCCTATCAATGTGTATAAAGCCTCCCTTGTTTAAGATCCCACTGCAGATCAGGAGGAGGGTCTCTGCAGGGGGAGTCCTGAGACAAGCAGCCAGCGGCCATGCAGGCTGCACAGGAAAGGGCCACAGGTATCAGGTGTGGATGTCAGCTGTCTGTGTAGATGAACAGAATATCTTCATCAGTGCCATAACTTGTCCTGGCTTCCTCAAAGTTACTGATGCTGGTGCAGCACGTTCCTGTTAAGGAGGAAGAAAATGGTATTAAAATTCAGAAGAATTTGCCTGTGAAAGGCTCTTAGTACTGGGTGTAGCAGCCTCTGCAAAGAAAAGTAACTAGTATACAGACTAGACCTATCAGCTTACAGCTCTACTTGGATCTTTCTGCTTCAAAGGCATTGCTCACTGAAGTAGTGCTGTAAATAGGTACTAAATTGGCCACCCCCTTATATTCTGAACAACAGTTGAGCATCTCTCACTAACCCATCTGAAAGCTAAACACGTTTGCTAGACTGTGTATCTTAATGCCTTAAGTAAATCACAGCACAAAATGCAGCACTGATTTAATTAATGTGGCAAAGCCCCTTCTGACAAATTGGTTAGTGATGCTTGAAAAACATGTGCGCTATTAGGGGAAGCACAGCTGTGGCTCTGTGTTACAGACATGTTAGTGATGCGGTGGCTGAGAATCCACCCGAAAAGAGGAGGGTACTCACGGTCAGCATAGGCAGGGTTGTTGTAGTAAATACTCCCTGAGGCTTTGTTGTAGCCACATAACACAATGAAATGGCCCTGGTAGTCGGGATTCCTGCAGAAGCACTTCTGTCCAATGGGGAGGAAGCAGCAGTATTTGACAGGACTTGAGCAAAGATCACACAAGAGCAGGACTGCGTTCACTAGGACAATGGCTACGTGACCTTGGGACAGGTGGTTTTGGATGTCTTGAACAGTTACTGTGCTGCAGAAAAAACATCACATCTGCTTATTAGCAAGTTCAGGGAAGACACTGGTGTACAATGAAGTGTGCGGTGACAGACAGTACATATGACCACAGCTGGCAGGGTTATTTTTATATCACAGGTACAGCTTTTTGCTGTTAAACCCTGCAGGCTTTGCTACAGACAAAGCCTGACAAAACCTGTGTCATTCAAGGCCGTTTGATCCCGTTGCTGCTACTGAAGTGTGGAGCAGCAGCTCTGGATTCTGCAGTAATACAAACATAATCTCAGAATAAATCAGATGTCCCAGAGAAGAGTACTAAAGAAGCTGGCAACTCATCCAGTAACTAGAGAGACTTGAAAATCGTAAGTGAATTGTTCTCTCCTGTTCTTAGAAAAGCTTATCTCTGAAGCAACAAATCTCTATCAACCTGAGAGGTTAAAGATTGTATAATCACTAACCAACTTAAGACATGTCCAAATTTGCCTCTGTCATACAGGAATGCTTCTCCCAGTTGCAATTTTGGACTACCTAATGCTCCTCAGGCTTTATTTCTATAGTACTTCCTACAGAGAATAAGTATTAACCAAACATAACCTATAATCTCATCTGTTAAAAGCTGTCCTTCACTGAGGCAGACGGTGTATTCCATCTGTATTAGAAACTCATCCCTTGGGTACGTTCTAGATGTCCAGACAGCGTGCACTACCTAATGTGCTTTTTAATCTTGCTGCTTCTCTTTGATGCCCCAGCCTCAGTGCTGCACAGGTAGATATGTCCTCTGTCCCTGCCTCCATCAAGGCCATGATCTTAATGTTGCTAAAAGAGATGGACCAGTTGTCTGTGCCTTCTGTCTTGTCACAGCTCTAGTTAAACAGATGGTGCCATATAAACTCCATGCGTGTTAAAAAAGGACATCTAACAATTATGCTAAAGTTGCATTTCAGCATTAAATGCTGTTGTGGCTGCCCTGTACCCTCTCTTCTTTTCTTCTAATTGTTTACCCCACTTGTGACAATAGAGATCCAAATCCAGCTTCACTATAAAAAGAGATGCAGCTCAAGTTGAATGTGGATGCTTAGTTATGTCCCATGTAAAATATCACTGTCGGTTGTGAAACAATTCTGCAGTTTTTCACCTTCTCCTGGGTTTGCAGCTTTTCCATAGAGGCTCCTTATTTCATCCTCCCTTTGGCAAAAGCTCGTATGCTAGCTTTTTCTTTATGCATCTGTGTAGGAACAGAGAGCTATAATGTTTGCATAGCTCTGGGAACAATGGGTTGTGTGCCCACATAGCACTCCCCTTAATTCCAACAATGGCCAATTAGAGTGCTGGAGGCACTCCCTACTGGGTAATTTTAATAGATAATCAAATTCAAAACATAAACAATAGTCAACTCCTGTCAGCGTTTTCAAATCACTTATTCTGTGTCGTGACTGTTTCTCCTCAAACTTCATTATGAACTCTTGATGTCTACTTTTTTTTTTTTTTGAGACAGATACAGTAGAAAGACTAATTCACCAAAAAAGGCTCAGGGCTTGATTTTGGTCTCTTTTAACAGTTTAGCTTGGTGACTCCAAGAAAAGCATGGGGGCCACAGAATCTCTGCAGAGAAAGGAAAGAAAACAATAAGCTTACCACTTCTCCACCAGCACCTTGCAGGCTTTGGCTTGTGCAAAGAGCTGATTTACTCGATTCTCCTCTGTGTCAAAGTGCTTCCTGTAAAATGACTGTGGAGACAATAGACGTTATGTGTTGGAATGATGTTTACCTTTGGTAATTCACCAGTTCCAATCCCTGCTAGCAGGGACCTGCACAAGTTGGAGATTTGGCTTTGGGACAAGAGATCTCTCCCTTAGTTCACTGGTAACAGGATGAGGATTCCTACTCTAAACTATAAGTTTAAGTTAACTCCTGGTCAGTTATTGTCATTTCCATTCAGTGGCAATTCAGCTGCCTACATGAAAGAAGCCTGTCTGGTTCATATTGGGCAGGAGCTTGCATTAGAAAAGTCATTGCCACTATAGTCCCTCACTGGCCCCCTGGGCAATCTTGAAAAGGCCAAGCTCTCCATGGACATGGAGGGGAAATTCCCCTCTCACCTCCAGAGGTGGTTCTTCCAGGTCAGGGCTGAGGCACGGTGGTGGGGAAAGTGTGGAAGCTAAAACTGCTGCTGCCCAGGCTCTACCTAGTCTGTAGGTAGAGGGCTTCAGTCTCCAAGGCTGTCAAACAGGCTGGAACCTTTCATGAACACTACATGAAAACTTTTAAAAAAATTCATAGTATGGAATCAAAGATGTGAAATATCTGGGATTGTATCTAGCCTCACCTTTGGAACTGATTTGTGCCAGTTCTGGCAATAGGCAAACCTTGTTTACAGGAACTGTAGTTGTCAGTAAAACAACACAGCTTTTATAACATGACACACAGTCTCCTCAACAACACAGCTTTTATAACATGACACACAGGGCTTTTAAAACTGTCTCCTAGTAGGTAAGGATACTAACCTGATTTTTGTAGCCCTTGTCCACTCCAAGCGTCTGGGTGCAAAATTTATGCTTAACACCAAAGTGCCGCATTAGGTAGGCCAGGTCAATAGTCCAGATACTCTTTGTTAACTGGAGTTCCTGGATGGCTTTCTGAAATTCATCGTTGTCCAAATGATTCAGGTACCTATGGTATTAGGAAAGGCAGGGGAAGGGAAGCACAGATCTTAGGAGAGGCAAACTGCGTGCCGTAGCCCAAGCCTCTACATCACAGGACGTGAAAACTGAAACAAATGGCTTGGCTAAGAAATAACAAAAACCCAAACAACCCACAAAGGAGTCACAAATATAAGGGAAAGGAAGGGAGTAGGGAGTATTTAACTGAATTTATTGCTGACTTTTTAAAATTGGAAATGCATGGGTATCTTGACTGTTTGTTTATAGTGCTAGAAGTGTACAGGTGCTGTACAATAGGCAAGCTATACTGAGCAAGTATAGAACTCTGTCCTGGAGGGCTTATAGTCTAAATGTGCAAACGTATTAGAGCAAACACAGAAAGAGGTGTTAAAGACTAAAACCTGCTTCATACAATGGATGGATTTCAAAGGAGGAACTGTAAAGGAATTCGGTCAATATTCAAAGGAAGCTTGTCTTGGGCACTGATGGCACGAAAGTGGAAATGAAGTCAGGAGGAAGCTTGGGCCAGGTTGCAAAGGGTGGGGAGAGGCAGTTACAGAGAGTTCTGAAGTTAGAAAACAAATGGAAGTAAATGGGAAAAAAAAAAAAGGACTGGAATTGAGGATGCAGGGCAAACAAGGTCAGATCAGCAGGGTGAGAAGATTAATCTTGGAAGCTGAGTTTTGGGCAGACTGGAGTGGCAAAGAGGTAAAGGGAATAAAGAGGCAGAGGTTACAGTAGTCAAGATGGGAAATTACCAGCACACGGACTAACGTCTTGGCAGAAGGGATGGAGAGAAATGAAAATCTTCTGCTTCATATCTACTAAGTGGACATCTAAATAGGTATTTCTCCTGCACCTAAGCTCATGTTCCTCTGTGGAAGGAAAGAGGAGTTCAGCAGGACAGCTACTAGTTCAAAAAAAAAAAAAGAAAAAGAAAAAGAAAAAACAAAACAAAACCAAAAAAACCCCAAAGGGCAACACAGTGCATTGTTTTGAAGTTGAAACTACTCCTGGAACAAAACCATTTATCCCACAGATTGGGAGCTCAGCAGGACAGAGGTAGTATATACTCATAAACTGGGATACACCTACCCATCACTAGGAAACACAGAAAGGAATGAAGTGAATTGCTGTGCTAAGTATCAGTTCTGCATTAAAACAAGAGGAAAGAGGGATAACTTTTTATGAGCTTAAGCATGCCAACCTGCAGAGTTCTTAGAGCTGATCAGATATTTTGCATCTGTCAAAACAATTATTCAAAAGGGTCTTAAGTCTGTCTTAGTTTATATTTTCCCTCGCTGGAGAGCTGTGCCAGGCCCAAGCAGCAGTAATTCTCCGAGGGTACCTGAGAATATCTTGTAAGACTGAGTTAAACTCCCAGCTGCTTCAACACACCTCTTCTCCCTGGACATTGCTTCCTGCTACCCCTCTCCCACGGGATGGGATTTCCCACCCCTTCAACCCAAAAAGTCACTTACTGCAGCACCATCCTGGAGCAGGCCAGCCCGCAGTCCCAGTGGTACAACTGCTGAATGACCGGCACCTTCAGCTGGATGCAGTCAGCTGCAGTGGAAACACCCCATTGTGAGTAAAGCATGAAAAAAACGTCATACAGCAATACAGATCCATAAGGAAATTCTTAGGGAAATGCAGGTTTGGTATTTCTGTCCAGTTAAGTATTTGGTTTAATCTCGTACTCCTTTGTTGTTCTGTACCTGGCTCATTGTGCTGTATGGTCAACCCCCTTCTCCTTGGACGTTTCATTTTATTCTTTCTGGTGGGGTGACATACCCACCAGCCCCCCACTATGGAGCTGTATCCCCCTCCTAAATAACAGCAGGGAAAGCACAGGTGTTCTTCCTTTCTCTTGTGTCTGAATGTATTTCTGTGCCACAAAGGGAGTTCAACCAAGCCATGAGCAAACAGACACAACCAAGATCTCTAGGTGCTGATCTCTTACAAGCCCCACAGATTTGAGCCTTTTCTACAGAAGTCTTTTTCCTCAGGGACTGTTAATTTGCATGAGTAATTTTAGGTTAACAAATCTCACAAATGGCACCAGTTGGCCTTTTGTATTAACTTCCTCAGTAACTCAACAAAGGAAGGGAAAAAGAACAAATCTCTACCAAAAAGTCCCAGGATACAAATAACTCCACCCCTCTCCCTCAGTTTTTATTTGTGTAGGGTTGGCATTGTTGTGGTTTCAGTTTCAGAGGGCCCTTACCACTCGGAGGAGGTGAAGAGCTGTGCCTGCTACTGCTACTTCTCCGTCAGCCCAAGTGAGTTAATCATAAAGGGCTTTTCTCAATAACCTTTGGACTAGAAAAGACCTTTGAAAAGTTTTGTTAACACAAGGCCAACTACGTTTTAAGGTGGGAATAAAAATGATTTGACAGCACATGGACTGGTCTAGTTAAGAAGTTTTATAATGTTGTTTATAATCTTACATTATTTTTACCAAAGCTACAGCCGGAACAAGCCAATACAGATATTCTGGACTCTTTCCAAATATTATTTTGTAGTTGTGCCACTGTTTAATCATGACTTTGAAGACAGGTATACCCATTGGTATATACAACCTTTTTAATTAATCTAGATTAAGGTGTTCTTAAGTATCGTAAAGAAAAATCCTCAAAAACCCTCAAACCAGGATCTGTAAGTATTTTGTTGTCCTTTTTTTCATGGCATGCTGTGATTCTGTCCCCTTTCTGTTAATACCCAGGGCCACTGTCAAGTCCCAAGCTTCACTGAAGAGGTGGGAGCTTCCACTCGTCCTGTTTCCCGACACACCCGGGCTCCAGCGCTGCCTGTCGGCTGTCCCCGGACGGGTACGGTAGGGTACGGTACGAGCCCGTGCGGGCTGTGGCTGTAAACACCACCGACACCATCTCTCCGGTCTGCCACCTCCTCGGCGTAACCAACTCACACCGGGAGCCGGTAACTCCACACGGCTGCTGGCAGAACCGGCGGCTCCAGGCGGGCAGAGGGGCGGCCAAGGGATGGCGAGACCCCACCGCGGCCAGGGCCGTGCCCCGGGCTCCCTCCCCCGGCCCGTTCCGCCAGGTCCCCCCCTCCCAGCCGCCTTCCGAGGGCTCCTCCCGGCCGCCCCGCGTTCCCCGCCGGCAGAGGGGAGGGTTGCGGGAGGTGGCCGGGGCTCACTGACCTGGCGGCGGCTCCCCGGCCTCCCGGGGGCTCTTCATGGCGGCGGCGGGGCCTGCCCCCCGCTCACTGCCGGCCCCGC